GTTTAGGGTAAATAATTACATCCATCTACTTACTGTCGCAAAAGATATAAACGTTTTTACATTATATTTACACCAAAAACTAAATCACTCACCTATGAAATGATAGTTCGTGTGATTTTTGACTATATTTTGAGGTACAGCCTCTTACGCAACACTTAGTCATCTTCGTTCTTTATAATGAATTGGAAAATTCACTATAAACTGTTTAAAAATTCGCAAAATTTTCAAATTAAGAAATATCAAACGACTTTTTATAGCAGCAAATTTGAGACAATAAATGGCGGAATCGGCCGCAAGGCGGGGTTAAATGACGTCATCTTAAAAATGTTTACCAGAATGCGAAACAATTTCTATTATCTGTTTCATTTATGAATGACACTTAAACTTACACTTCGCTGAGTGAAAAAGAGATAGGCAGCATATTGACAGTTCAGTGTCGAATATAACCATATTTGTATAATCAATAAAACATATAGACGCTCTGGGCAGCTCCTCTATTTTCTATGCTCAAAGGGCATGCCCATCTTTGAGCATAGAATGCCCATAAAGTATGACATTGACAGGTACTGTCTTAGGCATGTCGATCTAAAATCGATTCTTTGAAGTAAAATAATTCGATAATAATTCGAACTAAAAATCGAAGATCGATTCGGAGCACTGCCATCGATTCACTGAATCGATCCAAAAACCTCTCGAATCGGACGATTCATCTGATTCAAGAACTAGCGATAAAATTCCTAAACTGGCTGAGGTAAGATACCGCAGTTTTTTAATTTTTTGCTGTTGGGAGACGCATAAACAACCGGTCGTACTTGGTTGATAATTTAAACACAATATATATTTAAGTTACAAAAATTAATTAATTAAAATTATTTTGAATAAAGTAAATAGTTATTAACGCATCCAACTATATCGAAAAGTTGTCATTTCATTTTCAGTACTAAAATTCTAATTCTAATCTTACCTATGGAATGTTGGTCTAACTTAATCTGTGCTGTGAACTATATTTTAAAATAATATAATATATATAAATAAATTATTTAAAATAAATAATATAATATATATAAATATAAAAATATAAGACTATATTTTATACATACTACAATATAAGATTATAGCTGTGAAGTACAGACAGATTACTTTTTGAATACCTAGGTACTGTAAATAAATATTATATGTTGAAGTTTATAGAGATTTATAGTAAGGAAATAACCAGTTTTGTGTTCGTGTAGCATTCATTTCAATTTGATAAATATCTTTATTAATCTAATAACTCACGTTATTAGATTGAAACAGATTTATCGAGAAATGTACGTTGTAGTTTGCACTTTTGTTAAAGTATTGTTGTTCTTTTTAGCCTAAAATGTCAAATAAAAGTGATACATGGAATCACTTTGCAAAAAAAAGGATCGAGTGGCGTATGTGCGAACCACTCCTAACACAAGTGTTTCAAGCTTACCAGGAGTGGTTAAAAGGAATATTAGTAATGTTAATTAATAAGATTACAAATATTTTACTTAAAAAAAGTTGAATAAAACTAAATTTACGGATTTTATCGCTCGGATTTTATCGGGTGCTTTACAGCACCAGAAACGTCGGGAATTAAAAATAAGTAAAAGTAGTTAAATAAACGCGATAAAATCCGTAAATTTAGTTTTATTCAATGTGTAGTGTTCGCGTAAATTTAAGAAATCATTATAAAAAAAGTTATTAAAGTTCAATTAAAGAAAACTGTAAACTGTAAAGCACCCGAAACGTCGGGAATTAAAAATAAGTAAAAGTAGGTAAATAAACGCGATAAAATCCGTAAATTTAGTTTTATTCAATGTGTAGTGTTCGCGTAAATTTAAGAAATCATTATAAAAAAAAGTTATTAAAGTTCAATTAAAGAAAAAATCGCAAATACTTGAAATTTCATGTTTAAAAATGTCGCGATTAATCGAAAATCTATCTTTTAATCTTCGATTTAATCGGAATCGATTCTAGTATCTTCGATTCAAATCGATTCAGAGATCGATTTTTTTTAAGAGAGAATCGACATGCCTATACTGTCTGTACTACTAAGAAATTCAGGACTTCATACTTCATATGTCGGCTCTACACGTTGGCCAACACAGTGGCGAATGTAGTGGCGAATATATTGGCCGAGAGTTGGTGACGGCGTCCACACGTTGGAACGTCGCGTCGTTCAGTTTACTTCGGTTCGGGCCAATGTGCGGACGAATTGACGACGGCTCCGTGGCGCAGTGGCTCAGCAATGAGTGGCTGCGCCGGGCACCGCGGGTTTGATCCCGCACGGAACAAGTATTTGTATGTCCTACAAATAATTGTTTCGTGTTTGTAAACTGACTGCGCGATACGGGAGAAAGTCCTAGTGTGGGGTTAACGTTTTTATAAAAGAATTATAAAATAATAGTGGATATTAATGGGGCTGTAAAGATATTTACGATATACGATTAGGTTTATTTATTCTTTACATGCATCATAAACTGGAATAAATATCATTAATAAGAACTTAACTTATTTTAAAGTTAAATGAGTTATAATCGATTAGTCTATGTTTTAAAATTGGGTTTTGATTTTAAAGTTTAGCAAAATATGTACTTGCATTTCTATCAGACATTTGATGTATATAAAAAACACCTTCTAATTTATTTGGTAATTTAATTATTTTTTGAGTATATATATAATTATATAATAGTAATAGCAATAAATATAATTAACACTGACTTGATAATAGATACTATTTATAACTTAGAACATAAATGAAAAACTCATGACGAGCAAAGTGGCTCAGGACCATGCTTTGCGGCAGTCTGTGGAGGAGTATGCTCGGTAGTGGACTTGTGAACAGCTGTAATGATGATGATGATTCGAAAACTTGCACGATTAATTTATAAGAAATCGACGTTTTTTATATGATATGGTGACAAACGAGCACACAGTTCACCTGATGTTAAGTGGTTACTGTGGCCCACAGACATCTACATCTATCCTCGATTACGAATCAAAATGCAGATGCGTTCTCACCAGTGAGGACTAAAATGAAATGCTTCGTTTCCTTTAAAAAGGGTCTCTGGTTCTCTACACTCACTATACGAAACACAGCATCATTTAGCTACTATTTTATGCTGATATTCTGTGAGAGCGTAGTCCTTCCCCGGTTGAGCTGACCCATTCGTGCTACAACTATACTTCTAATATAACCGCATAGTTCTACCACGTATAAACGACGTGCTTCTTTTTTTTCATTTTAAAACTGTTCTCGTAATAATCTGATTGTAAATAAATGTTCGTTATTTTTTTCATAAATAGTTAATCGATTAAAACAAATGTTTAAAAATAATTAAATCGCGCTAATTAAAGTAGTAGGAATGTTTAAAGTTGAAATTGGCACTAAAAGACTGGTAATTGGGTCATCCACCCTACAAAGCTTGAATATAAAATTTAAATCAGATGCGTGTAATCACTCTGGGAGCTTGTAGCAAACTAAACGCGCGGCCAACGTATGGACGCGGCGACCAAACTCTGCCACCCAACAATCCTTTGATCTTTTGTAAAAAACCGACACACCACACGGATCTCGCGCCAACTTGTGGGCCATCGTCCCAATACATACCAATGAAGCCCAAACACCCCGTCTACACGTTGGCCAATGCGATTGGTCACTACATTCGCCACTGTGTTGGCCAACGTGTAGAGGCGCCGATTAGCGTGATTTTTACTGACAGCTGTCGCAGAGAACAGAGAACAGAGATCAAGCTGGATCATAGAGATAGGTATGGGCTCTCCGATAGGAGTAATCTTAGAGCATACATTACATGTTAGAGCATACATTACATGTAATGTATGCTCTAAGGGAGTAATAGTGTTCTGTGTAGCGGTGGGTAGTAGCGGCATTTTTGAGGAACGAAACGAAACTATCTATCGAATATCAATAGCGGCTTTTGAAACACTCTATTTTAATAGAGGGTTTTGAAACACTCTATTTTAATAACGGCTTCAATAGAGTGTTTCACGACGTGTTTAATTGAAAAACGTTGCGAATGAAACGATGTCCGTATCACGAGAAAACTTGTTTGTTACCGTTTCGTATAGAATTAGACATGGTGTTAATGGTTAAATTTATTTATTTGTTAAATCATTTCGCACGGTTTGATAAAAATATCACTTGAAATGATTTAATGGCAAACGATTTATTTAATAATTATGATTATGATAAATTCACCCACAAGTTCAGCATAAAATATTGAATATATGTAAGTTTGATTTTATAGCAAATAATTATTACAATACAATGCTTATTTTTAGCCATCTCAAGCCTACATTTTTATGTAATAAATCAAATGAATACATGTATTGATGTCTTTATAGAATATTTTCCGCCGCCATCTACTCCATTCTACAGGTATTAAAGTCTACTCATGTGCTTCTACTTCAACAGCCGAAGCCGTCGCCGGTGCGTCGCGGAAATAGCCGAATAAACGTTTTGTTACTGATCGCTCGTTCGTGATTCGTGAAACGTGAATCATGTTACTGAGTAAAACGTCTACTGTAATAGATAGTTTCGTTGCACTGCAATAACCCGTTACCCGCTATTGTGTGAATAGATAGTTTCAGTAACTAGTTACGTTTTGTAACGACCACTCCTAGTTCTGTGTATGAGCTGAATCAAGCTATCTTTTATGAACTATAGTTAGTTTGTTGTTTGGTTGGGTAAATAATATTTAGCTCTCTCGAGTATGTAATAATAATCTACTAGTTTTATTCCCCGTCGTACTTGCAAATTTTACTAAGAGAACACCTGTACAGAACCTGTGTTGAAGGTTTAGTGGCTAGGAAAAGTAACATCATTCGAACAAATAATAATTGTCATGTATAAAATGAAGCAAGAAGTGGATATTGCTTTCTCTAAAGTTTGTAGTGCTTGCCTTAGCTCGGATCGTGATTTAGTGTTTACAATAAGTCAATCAAATATTTATCGAATATTTCGATTACTAATGTATGATGTTGCGGGTGACAAGGTGAGTACATTTACAACTACAAAGGCTTCTTTATTTTTTTGTTAACAAATTCATACAAACCACGCTGTTCTCATAACATATAAACGCCCATTACATTATCCAATTTGCAGAGCGCTAGGTGAACTAGCGTACTAAATTTGTATTGTGTAAAGGCAGTTAGACAGCTAGTGATCCAATCTAGTGCGATTGCATTGACTCTGCCGCGCTAGCTCATATCGTACACTAGCTAGCGCACTAAATAGCATGGTGTAAAGCGTTCTAGCGTGCTAAACACTAACTTTGCTAGGTCAGTCAGTCAGTCGGCGTGCGCTCGAATAGGACGCATTTTTAGTATATGATATACGAAGGAAAAGGAAGCGCTCTTAAATGGGAAATTATGAATTATACAAAACATGCCATTTCTTTGTGATAAAAAACATAAGGATTATAAAAACAAAGAGATAAGAAATGATGGAAACAAAGTGCTTCTCGAACTTTACAAAGGATTCACATTGTTCATATTTGACTACAAACTAATAAGAGAACAATTTTTGACTCAGGAATAAATATTCTTTCACCCAACATTTTTTGTGTTTTTTTTAAAATTAATTTTCATTAAACTTGACATCATTGCTAAAGAAACGCCAAGTTTCTGGTGGTTTTATAGTACCATATTCGTTTGGCGCTTTTTGAAAGATGCGGTTTTGACGACGATCACTACAGAAATGAAAGGAAATTAAACTAACTAGCTTCGCTAGTTAGTCTAGTGTAATAAGTGAGCTCTTTTTATAGTTCGCTGCAGCACTAAATCTAGCGCTCTGCAAATTGGATAATGTAATGGGCGCTTCAATTTCTCCCACTATCATTCAGAGTAACTTCTGACATACTTCGAAGTGATAAAATGAGTGAGCTCTTTTTATAGTTCGCTGCAGCACTAAATCTAGCGCTCTGCAAATTGGATAATGTAATGGGCGCTTCAATTTCTCCCACTATCATTCAGAGTAACTTCTGACATACTTCGAAGTGATAAAATTTTGAGAAAATTAATGCTCGTGATTCTTTTGTTCCACCCAACTTTCATTCTTTTTCTTTTCAGGTTTTCAATTGTTATTTTTCAAAGAGTCTAAATTTTATATTTAAGTTCAAATAAGTAAATAATGATAAAATGTTATAGCAGTTTTTTAAAATACGAGTTAATAAGTCTTCTACTTTTATTTGAAATTATTCCAAATTGAATGTGATTCATAGGCAACAACTCCACTGTGCTCCTCTGTGTGCAATTCAATTCACAATGATTTTGCAGACCAGCAAGCCTCACAAATGTGTGCATTGGTTGTAAAGTAGTAGGCTTTAGATATTTACGAATGAAAATCAGTTAAAATAATGTATTACCCATTCTGAATTTGAATGATAAAAAGTATAGAATGTTTGAGATTTTTTTAAATTAATTTTTCTTCAAATTCCTATATTACTTTGAATATTCTCTGAAAATTCGGGCATGTAAAAAATGTGTGTTTGAAAAAATTTGCCGCAAATCATTAATAATAATATTAAAGGGAAAAATATTCCCTATTAACTATTTATAATGAACATTGTGAGATGCAGTTATGCAAAATTCATAATATGACTACTAAATTATGGACCTTGTTAAAATGTATTATGATTACCCATCTATTACCAATATAATGTAAGGGAAGTATAGGGAGACACCTACCCATTAGATGAAGTGATGATTTATTAAGAGATTCTCTTTAATTATTCTAAGCTAGAGCTCAACTACAATCCCACCTGATGGTAAGTGGTGATGTAGCCTAAGATGGTGAAGCGCACTGACTTAACAAAAACCTATTCACTGACGCCTTGAAGACACCCACATTATAATCGGATGAAAAGACAGATGCTGGCAAATTTTTCCACTGCTTTGCTGTAAGAAATTAAAAAAAAAAGAGATGTAAGAAGTTGATGAGTTCAAGTGGCTCAGGAACATGCTTGAGGGAGGCCTGTGTTTGTGATGGACCTATGATAGGCTGTAGTGATGATGTACCGTATCTAATTTTATGTAAATTTATTTATTTAATAAGTACATTTACAGTACACAATATATTATATATTAAGTAAGTATGTATATTTTACTAACTATATATCTATTCTATTCATTTGCATTTTATTTTGTTTTATATACTTATTATTTATTTATGAAGTGATTGATTACACCTGCCACAGTTTCTCAAATCATCCAGGGCGGACTTAATGCCTTATGGCAGAGAATGCCATAAGGCATTAAGTCCGCCCTTTATATCCCTTAGTATATAAGATTAAATAAATAAATAAAATATATGTTATTATATAAAAAAACGATTATTGTATAAAAAATACGTGTGGCACTCGGTGACTGCCGCGGTAAAGCTATTGCATAGCATTTTTTATCAACTTATGCAATTATAATTATTTATTTATTTTATTTATGCAGTTAAGTCTTTGATATTAAATCAAGTTACACTTTTTGTGCGTGGTGACCGATAAGAAAACATTTTTTTCTCTTATTGAATAAATGAGAAGTTAAAATATTTGTTAAATATGTTATTAAAATATTGTTTAAAATATTTTTAATATCTTACAATACATGTAGGTTATTCAGGAATTTTTATCATTGAGTTAGCAGCTAGTGTACACGCATACGTCTAGTCGCACGCACACAAACACTGTGCCGAAGTCTGCAGAGTGCCGAAATCTGCTGAACTGAAACGACGTTAGATGATTCACGGCTTTCAACGCCACACCTCCGTGCCCGTCGGAGTGGGGAGCGTGAGGTTTTTTTCGTTACGGAATTTCTGGATTCGGTCCCTGCGCTCAAGGCCCGCGATAGAAGCTATGCAATAGCTTAATAAAAAAATTATTATATAATAAACCGACAACCGTTGGGGAAGAAAGGTTCTCAAGTGGCAGCCTCGTACCCGTAGGCGAAGTGTAGGGTGACCCCCCACTAGATGGAGTGACGACCTGGTAAGACATGCAGGAACTTCGATGGATGCAGGTGGCTCGGGACCGTGCTTTGTAGCATACTTTGGGGGAGGCCTATGTTCAGCAGTGGACTTGTGAAGGGCTGTAATGATGGTGATGATATAAAAACAATGTTTTGCACTATGATAACCCCTTGTGTGGCGACCGGCCAGATTCTGGCTGATGGTTAATTACGCGCGTCTGGCAAGCGACCAGATTCTGGCCGATCCGCGACTGCGTATTTGGCGGGTAAAATAACCAGCGACAATGATTTTTATCACACTTTTACTTATAGAAAATTATAAACCAAAGAAAGAGGATGCGATACAAAGCTACTAAAGTACTACAATGTTTAGAAATTTCGAATAAACACCTATGTAGCAGTCACGCGAACGTCACTTTCATGTGGTCACCCGTCCCGGTTTTTGTCCTTATTTTTATTCCTAAATCGAACAAATAGTGAAGTTAGGTGCTATTCAAACATAGAAGGGTTAATAACCAACAGTTTTTAATTCATAATTTAGGGATATGTATCCTTTTTATAAAAAAAAATTCGAACATAAGTAAGTATAACGGTCGTTATACTTACCTTACATTTATCTCTATTGTTGATTAAAAATACATTACATTCTTTTTAGAAATGAAACTTTGTCTAAATTAAGGACTTGAGCCATACTTAATGTTAAAATTATCGTACGCCACTTGACTTGCTCGTTTCTCAAAATAAAACTAACAATATATGCTATTTTTTGTGCGACGCTTGGGTTGCCGTTCATGTGTTAAGATTGTAAAAAACTTTTGAGGTAAAAATATATAGGAATGTGTGGTTTTTTTTGCTTTTTTATTATAAATTAGTGTATATTGATGAAAATAAATTACATTTATTTTATAAAAGAATGATTTTTATGTTTAATTTTCACAAATTATGCACAAAATACTATTAAAAATTTGGTTTTCGAACTTTGAAATTGGCTTAATAAAATCTATTAAGTTGTATTCAACTAAGATATCTACAGAGTAATAGCAAATAATATAACAATTCATATGACATAAGTTTTATAAATAGCTTCCATACAATATTTTAGAGAAATTACTAATTTAATCGCCACGCGCCGATATCGCAAAATTACCTGCTAAGGCCCTAGCAGACGCGACGTATTTGCAAAATGGCCGGCCGGCAGACGAGGGGATATGCATGTGAATTACAACTGTACATAACATTCTCAGATTGAGTCATGAAAATATGAATAAGCGGGAGCTTTCAATTCTTCAATGCACAAAATCTTAACACCGACTTCAGATGCTATTGTGGAGAAATTACTTTATTATTTTTTAATTATGAATTATATTTGAAACAATATACTTTGAGTTTGTTACCATTACAGCCGATTAAAATCCGCTACTAAACATAGGCCTTCCTCATAGGTTACCTCATAGGTGGGATACTTGCCTTATTTGCCACGCTTGGCAACCGGGTTGGCAACCACATTATTTTATTTTTAGTTGTTATAAGGAAGACGCTTCTGTCCATTTCTTGATTTGTTTCAATTAGTTGCTTCTTACACAGGATTATATGGGGTAGTGGATATACTTACACCGTCACTGCATAGCCTTCCTTACCGTATAATACCGAGTGCTGTTGTAAAAGGCGACAGAGAGAAAATGAAGAATCTTCCTAATAATAACGCTTGCCAAGCATGGCAACTATTCAAAATTCACCATGGGGCAAGTTTTAAGGGAGACCTATATTCAACAGTGGACATTTGTGCAAACAATGGAATGGAATGGTAATTAGGACGGTTCCTTACAATGAAATGCACAATTTAATTTGACTAAAGCCGTGTCATGTTACTGACATAATAATAAGTAAACATTGCATGTGTTTTAAGCTAAAGTTACGCTTGTATTGTATCCTTTGACATAAGAATTTTGGTTAATAAATGGCACAATATTGTCTAAACAGTACCCCACAAACATATAACGTGTGCACAACTATAGGCTTATATAGTGCAAAGCAGTTGATGGGGTCATTGCCACCTTAAGGAATAACTGTGTTAAAGCCTAGTTGTAGAGATTGAAGTTGGCAATCATTTTCAACTCACACACTCTATGTAAAGTTGGTTAAGATTTTGGGGTAGTGGATATTCTAACACAGCAACTACATGGTCCACAGTTGGGTCTAGTGTCTGTGGCCAGGTGACAGAGGGAAACAAACTGGGAATAGGGCAAAGCTTCTTATGAAATGATAGACTTGGATGATTATGGCTTCACTTACAATCAGGTGGACTGTGTGTGTGTCATCTTTACTTCTATAAAAAATACTTCTATAGATACATACAGGACATAGTCAGTTCATTTTGCATAGATCAGACCAGAAACAATAATTAAAAAGGCTGAAGATACTCCAGGTTTAACAATGACATCGGGACGTCAGTCATCTCAGTCCCCCGTGACCATGGGTGCTGGAAAGCGCCCGAAACGTCGGGAATTAAAAAATAAAAGTAAATAAAAAGTAAAAATAAACGCGATAAAATCCGTAAAAGTAGTTTTAATCATGTATAGTGTTCGCGTAAATATAAGAAATCATTATACTTCTATAGATATTGTCACTGTTATTTAGGCTATGAATTTGTTTTTCAGTTTGAAGAACCTGATGAAACATTACAAGTGTGTTGGGAATGCCTTGCCCAACTAAGGAGGTTTGATAAATTCAAGAAGCAAGTTCACACCGCCCAGGAAACTATCCTAAGCTTAAAAGAGAACTATGAGGTATGCTTTTCATCTTTTTCCTTAGCCAGTAAAAGTGAATTATGTTGAGTCGCTTACCATTGCTTTGTCGATTAGAGATCACAGTACTGAGGTGACATGCACCTTTCATGCTGCTATCCATCGCCAATTGATTGATTTAAGCATGATGTAAACAATTGCTTATACTATTATTTATCAGCAGTCATTCTCTATGTGATAGAGCCATGATGCAATTACATTATGGTTGTAACACAAATGGGTCGACTAGACTGGGATATAACTACAACTCTCATACAATATCAGCATAAAATAGCCACATGACGCTGCTGTATTGTATATGGCTAGTATAGAGAATCGAAGACCATTATTACTGGAAATGGAGCATATACCATCTTAGTTTTTAGAAGTGACAATGCTTCTGCAGATTGATTGTTGATGGAAGATAGATGTAGGTGTCTAAGAGCCGTACCTTACCATCAGCTGGACTGTGTGATTTTGTCACTATTATTCTATAAAATAAAACTACAACATCTTCTTGGTGTTTCCCTTAGGCACCCATAGGATGAAATGGAGTGATGGATTCCCTTACCTTGCTCCCACGCGGCTTTCATTATTTGCTCTTCACCATTCTTTATTGATATTTCCACTCATTAAGCAATAGATACTTCTTTACAGTGCCATGTTATTATTATTATATATGATGCTTGCAATTTATATTACATAATGCTTAAAGTTACAGCCTATATAAGTCTTACTACTGGGCAAAGGCTTCCTCTCATTTCTAAAAGGGTTTTAGGCAGAGGAAATGTCCGCCGCGCTGCCAGTACATAGACATCTACATGCATCCTCAATTAAGAATCAAAATGCAGATGCATTGTCACCCCTGAGGACTGGACTGAAACTTTTTTCCAGTAAAAAAAGGGTCACTGGCTCTCTACCGCCGTGCCGTGTAGTGGCGGTTGAGAATATCCACTACCCCATATCTTCCCGTGGGTGTCGTAAGAGGCGACAGAGGGAGACAGGCAGGAGTTGGGCAGCAGCATCTTCCTGATAACAACTGTGTTATAATAAAAAACTGCGGTTGCCAACCCGCTCGCCAAGCGTGGCAACTATGGCAAATATCCCCCCATGAATAATGACGCAAAAAAACGGCCCCCAGTCCCCGGCGGCCCCGCTATTCCTGGATACGGTGGCGACCATGGTAACGGCGGGGCAGGGGGTGCTAAAAATCTCCGATGGAGGTTCGGTTGCCACCTACGACGACTCGACCTGGCAACACATAACGCACGCACCCTGAGGACTGACGAGAAGATACTGGAGCTGGAAGAAGAGGTAGACAAGTTGCGCTGGCATATTATTGGATTATCCGAGGTCCGAAGAGAGGGGGAGGATACGGCAATCCTCGAGTCCGGCAACTTCTTCTACCACCGGGAGGGCGACCATCTGTCCCAAGGAGGTGTCGGATTTATCGTCCACAAGTCTCTCGTCAACAACGTTGTAAAGATTGGGAGTGTGTCGACGAGGGTCGCGTACCTGATACTCAGAATCACCAAACGGTATTCGCTGAAGGTCATACAGGTTTACGCACCAACCTCGGCACATCCCGATGAGGAGGTGGAGGAAATGTATGAGGATATTTCCAGATATTTTCATGCATTCCTCCAAAACCCACTACACGGTGTTGATGGGAGACTTCAACGCAAAACTGGGCACAAGAGAAAGCGGTGAGCTGAAGGTGGGGAAATTTGGAGTAGGGCAACGGAACCGAAGGGGCCAGCAGCTGGCCGACTTTATGGAGAAAGAGGGACTCTTTATGATGAACTCTTTCTTCCAGAAGCGGCCCCACAGGAAGTGGACCTGGTCGAGCCCCCCCGACGGTTCGACAAAAAATGAGATTGACTTCATTATGACGACCAGACGCCAACTGTTCAGTGATGTCTCAGTGATCGCAAGGGTGAAAACTGGCAGCGATCACCGAATGGTTAGAGGCACACTGAAACTAAAAGTTAAGTTGGAGAGGTCTCGTCTAATGAAGTCAACGCTCCGTCCCCCTCGTGCTCTAATCCAGAATCCCGAAACCTTTCAGCTCGAGTTACAAAACCGCTTTCAGTGCCTAGAGGATTGCAATGCAGTGGACGATATGAATGACAAGCTCGTGGAAACTGTCCATGCGGTCGGAGCTAAGTTCTGCAAGACCCGCCGCAGAAGAACACAAAAACTCTCCGATCACACTCTTAATCTCATGGCTGTGAGACGGGAGATGAGGCTGCAATCGTCAACAGATTTGACAGCATACAGGCAACTGAACAGACCGATCTCCAAATGCATGCGGCGAGATATACGTAACTTTAATACTGCTCGTATTAAAGAAGCGATCGAGCGGAACCAGGGCTCCAAAGTCTTTGCCAGAGATCTGTCTGCCAGAAGGAGCCAACTGTCAAGGCTAAAGACTGAGTGTGGCAACATCGTTTCCGGGACACCTGAGATTCTGAGTGAGATTGAGAGGTTCTATGGGCAGCTGTACACATCATCGTTGGAGCCACACGCAAGTGTGAGTAACGATCCAAGAGCAAGTCTTATCCGACACTATTCCGATGATATCCCGGACGTCAGTCTGAGCGAGATTAGAATGGCTCTCCACCACCTTAAAAATGGCAAGGCCCCGGGCGAGGATGGAATTACAGCGGAGCTTCTGAAAGCGGGTGGAACACCGGTACTTGAAGTACTTCAGAAGCTCTTCAATTCCGTTCTCCATGGTGGCATTACTCCGGAGGCGTGGAGCAGAAGCACGGTGGTCTTGTTCTTTAAGAAAGGCGACAACGCTCTCTTGAAGAACTACAGACCGATTTCCCTTCTGAGCCGCGTCTACGTGCTGTGTTCGAGAGTCATTACGAATCATCTCGCACGCAGACTCGACGACTTCCAGCCTCCCGAACAAGCCGGTTTCCGAAAAGGCTTCAGTACCATAGACCACATACATACCCTTCGGCAAATTGCACAGAAGTCCGAAGAGTACAATCTGCCACTTTGCCTGGCGTATGTGGACTATGAGAAAGCCTTTGATTCCGTCGAAATTTGGGCGGTGCTACAGTCTCTTCAGCGGTGCCTAGTTGACTGTCGGTATATTGAAGTGCTGAAGTGTTTGTACAGTAGGGCTACGATGGCTATCCGAGTACAGAACCAGAGTACGAAACCTATCCAACTGCAGCAGAGAGGTGTAAGACAGGGTGGTGTGAACTCTTCACCGCTGCGTTGGAAGACGTTTTCAAGCTACTGGACTGGAAAAGATACGGTATTAACATCAATGGCGAGTACATCACTCACCTTCGATTTGCCGACGATATAGTCCTTATGGCAGAATCGCTGGAGGACCTTAGCACTATGTTCAATGACCTCAATGGTATCTCCCAACGGGTAGGTCTTAAGATGAACATGGACAAAACAAAGATCATGTTTAATGTCCATGTCACACCTATGCCGGTAATTGTTGGGAGCACTATGCTCGAAGTTGTTGACGAGTATGTTTACCTGGGACAAATAGTCCGACTAGGTAAGTCCAACTTCGACCGAGAGGTCAATCGACGGATTCAACTCGGCTGGGCAGCGTTCGGGAAATTACGACACATCTTCTCATCAGGTATACCTCAATCTCTGAAAACTAAAGTGTACAACCAGTGCGTGTTGCCAGTGATGACTTACGGATCTGAGACGTGGTCCTTCACCGCTGGCCGTATGAGGACGCTCAAGGTCGCTCAGCGAGCTATTGAGAGGGCTATGCTCGGAGTTTCACTGCGTGATAGACTCAGAAATGAGGATATCCGCAGTGAAACCAGAGTGACCGACATAGCCCAACGGATTAGTAAGCTGAAGTGGCAATGGGCCGGCCATATAGCTCGAAGAACCGATAACCGATGGGGAAGAAAGGTTCTCGAGTGGCAGCCTCGTACCGGTAGGCGTAGTGTAGGGCGACCCCCCACTAGATGGAGTGACGACCTGGTAAGACATGCAGGAAGTCGATGGATGCAGGTGGCTCAGGACCGTGCTTTGTGGCATTACCTGGGGGAGGCCTATGTTCAGCAGTGGACTTGTGAAGGGCTGTAATGATGATAATGATGGCTCTCTACACTCACCATAAGGAACACAGAAGCATTTACCTGCTATTTTACGTTGGTGTTCTTTAAGAGCATGATCCTACCCCGGACGTCGACCCTTTCATGCTACAACCATAATATAGTTGCAGCATGGCTCTACCTTGTCTTAACTTGTACCAACCATGACAATTAAGGCATATCCTCCCTACAATTGGAGAGGACTATATTCACTTTGGACTTTTAAGGGCTTAAGAAAAATATTATGTATGAATTGGATTGACTTTTTAAATTTATATGTAAGTGTTATCACTTAATTACATATTGAAAATATTTGGTTGTTCTTTTTCAGAATACTGACCATACTTATAGTTTTTCACAATCCCTATCGACATTGGGACTCACAATGAAGAATGGCTATGACTTTTGCTACGACAATACGAATGAAAATCAAACGGAATGGACACCAAAGATCGTCGCTGTGAGCTTCGGAGATAACATTAAGAATGAGCTAAACAATGATGAACAGATGTTAGAAAGTGAGCACGGATAATTTTTTTTTATAGAATGTGGGTGAAGAATGAGCACAAAGTCCACTTGATGGGAAGTGGATTCAGGGGTTTCGAACCAATTCACGCTACAATAATGTAGCTGCATCCATGACTAACACATATTTATTTTACCTATATAACCTTACTACACAAGATCGATATTTTATTGATGTTTTCAAGGTACGCAGACGCTTGAGAATCTCAACGCAACAGTAAAACCTCAAATTTTGATAAAACACGAACCTTTAGAAATTGACGAGCATAATGAAGACAAAGATGAAACAGTGTTACCTAAAGTTACAATCAGGTATGTTATATTTAACCTCAAACACCAAATAACTCCTATTTAAAGGATTCTGTATTTTTTCTTCTAAAGTGTTATTCTTTTGTTCTTTGAATCGATTCAGTAAACGGTTCTGAACAGACTACTTTCTCAAAGTGATATATATATATATATATATATATATATATATATATATATATATATATATATATATATATATATATATATATATATATATATATTATACTAGCTGACCCGGCGAACTTTATTCCGCCTTAATGGCAATAAATAAGCAGTTTGTGTTTTTTTTATTGGAAAAAATACAAAAAAATTAAATACCTACATTAATCATTCATTATTATTTCTGTATTTTAGTACATAGGTTGTTCTTCACTTAAGTACCTTGTGATACACGACATTTTTTGTTTTATTATCAGGCGCAAAAACAAACAACGCAGATGGTCTTCCGACCCGTGAACATGCCACGTATAATTGACCATGGGAAAAACATGAATGTTCTAGATTTAAACCACAAACTTTTAAGGATTGGCCTTGTGATTTGTTGATGGTCATGGCAAATGCAAGACGTACCGGAAATTGAAGTCTTTTAAATTCAAACGGCATATCGGTTGGGATCATCGGGATCCTCGGAATAAGAACTTCCTCACCTTTGAATTTTCCTATCATTATCGTAGCGTAAATTACATTGTTCATCAATTTTCTAACCACCAAACGCGTACCGTTGCACAGTTTTGGTTGGTTTATGTTTCGAAGCATGATTACTACGGAGCCAACCTTTAGGCGTAAATTGTGCGGTTGTAAGCCAGGCACGTCCAAAGAGTTTAAAAATTCAATTGGATAGTTGGTCGCTTCATCTTCATTTGTGACGCAGTCAATAGATTTGAATGAATGCATTGTTCCAATGATCTTATTTTGAATTATGTAGTTCAGATCATCTACATCTTTATTCTTAGCCGCTAAAATTGCTCGCTCACTCAACCATTCATTATTTTTGTAGTTAGAAATAATGTTTGGAAATACATTGTTGATAAGTTCGTCTTTTGATGAGACAAAATTACAGAAATTATTTGGAAATGATATTAATCCGCTCGATTCATCGACAGGTACTTGACCATTACCAATAGTCAGCAATTGCTCCGAGAAATCTTCAGCAGATGTATCATTAAGCAATGTAATTCTCATGTTTGTTGTCAGCTGCAGTATCTTCACATAGCGCCATAGATTTGACGATTTGAGGCAAGCGTTTATTTCGTCGGCAGCCGTAGATCTTGGAATAGGTAGTATTTGGCGGAAATCTCCGGACAGTAAAATCATTGCTCCTCCAAAACATCTCGAGTCATTGCGTAAATCTTTTAATGTTCGGTTAAGTGCTTCTAATGCACGTTTATGCGCCATTGTGCATTCGTCCCAGATGATGATTTTCGATGCCGCTAAAACTTTGGACATTGCTGAGTGTTTTGCAATATTACACGTTGGTTCTTCAATAGTTTGAAGATTTAACGGTAATTTTAATGCTGAATGAGCCGTACGGCATCCTTCTAACAATGTGGCTGCTATTCCAGAAGAAGCAACTGCAACCGCTATGTTGGATCTCACCCGAACAGTTGCTAAAACTAATGACATGAGGAATGTCTTGCCAGTTCCACCAGGGGCATCTAGGAAATATAAACCACCATTTTCATCATCGATTGCCTTCATTAAAGTATCATAAACTTCCTTTTGTTGGTAATTCAACAGGGGTACATTCGTTTGAACTACTAAATCTAATTCCTGGTGATCATATTCACGTTGTCCGTTCCAATTCTCGATTAAATGCGTCATTCATTTCACGATATGGCGCTGGCATTTCTAACCTGATTAATAAATTAACGCACATGAGGTAACACATATCTTCGATCAAGAGTAAAGCACGATTATGTATCTCCTCATTCATCTCAATATCGTGATTTCTGGAACTGACACGAATTTGATGTAAAATATCTTCTGACATATTATCCTTGTATTTGTGCCACAGGTTACATGGGTTAGATGGAAAACATGTCGAAATTATGATAGCGAATAATGTGCGTATCTGACTTGGAGATGCAGAGATAATGGCTTCAGCGATTGTCGTATCCCAATGTATATCGTTTTCTAATAAGTTCAATTCTTCACATGCAGCACGATATGTTGGGAATATTACACCATTAACAGTTCGTAGTGTCTCAAATGACGTTGGCCCACGCACATTTACCAGCAACAACCGCAAATAGAAACATTCATCATTCTTTGGATGAACTGTATACATACGACCAAGAGCATCAGTAGAACGCACATCTGGATACCCAGGAACCGCATCGCCTTGCTTCCGTCTTTGAAAATTCTTCGATGAAGCATTCCAAGTATAATAACGTGGCATCTCCGAGTAAAGCAAAGTTCGTGCAAACTGATCGCTTTGGCAGATTGCAAAAAAAATGGTCAATGTAGTTGCTGGAGGTGTTTCAGCACGTTGCGTAGCATTCGAAGCCGTGAAATATACTCGTTGACCATTCTCCAGATGCACCGCCAAATGCATAACAGTAGGATGACGTTCGTGAATGGGAAATGCGAATATACGCCAAATCGCTTCATTACAGTTCACATAACGACCAACTTGATAGCGTGAAATTTCATCGTTGGTATTCGAGGATTGCAATCCAAAAACTGCCATATCACTGCCTTTCGTGACATATTTGCAAATGTATTTTATGGACTTAACTGAATTGCAGTATTCAACGTTGCAATGTGTCTTGAACGTTTTAGAAATAAGTGGCGAATATGGAACAATCCAACTGTTGTCGACAACGAAATCCATTCTTTTCACTTTCGTTGTGACAGTTCGACCGTTGTCATTTGGTGATCGACGCCGATACAGCGGATAACCATCGTTGCCAGTGACAGTCTCCGCCGTTAATTTCCGTGGATATCGTTTAGAGCACTTTCCATCGACCATGCAAGGTGATTGGGGATTGATGGCACCACACGGTCCATGAATCATATTAGTAGTAACAACATCATGTAGGTCTGGATCGACTTCATGATCAGGAATCTCGGCACATATGATATCATCTATTTGGTCAGGCTGAATTCTTTCCACTAACCAAATAAGAATGTGTGCGTGCGGCAGGCCTCGCTTTTGCCATTCGATTGAATACATCCAGCATCGAGTGTCTCCAAAGACGCGTTGTTTAACAATAAAGTTCATCAGGGACCGAATTTTTTTGCCTGAATATACGTGCTGTGATGTCGTGTCTATCACTTGATGTTTGTCCGGGAAGCAGCAATTGAGTAATTTCTATCCATTTTGGATTACAGGTGAAAGTAATAAAGAGATCTGGCCGACCGTAATGACGAACATATGTCATTGCATCTTGTGCATATTCATGCATATGACGTGGACTACCAATGTACGTCGCCGGCAGAATAGTTAATCGACCAATATTAGCTGCATTTTCCTCAGTACTAACTGCATCACGTAAATGGATGTACTCCTCAGAACGCAGTTTGGCTTGGTTAAACCTAATGAATGTTAAACGTTCCGTTTCTATTTTTACATACATGTCAACGCAATACTGCTGAAACAATCGACGAAACCGCAGCAAATAGTTGTCAGCATTTTGACGAATCATCAAACGATATGCGTAATAATTCATTGAGCTAACTTTCTTTGTAGTTTCTTCACCTGAAATTAAAAATTTGATAATTAACCATTTCAAAGGCAAATTTCAAAGGAAAACAATACAGACATTAACCATTTTTTTAATAAGCATTATTTTAAATCAGTGTCTTTCACAAATAAATGAAATAAATTATGATACTGATACTCACCATTCAATGGATTTATCATTTTAATATTAAAATAATATCCATCTTCTCCTTGCCAAAACATCAGCGGGTATTGCAATGCGTCATATGATCGATGAGTTTCAGATATTTGTTGCAGTTGCCCAGTATCGCGACGTGTAAGCACAATATCGCGTTCTTCCAATTGTTCACCAACAATCAGGATGGCAACTTCGTCTAATGTTGGAGCATTAAATGTGCGTTCGTGTGTTCCAGATGGTCGTTTATCTGCTTTGACGACAACTTTATAGTCATTACTTGGCATGCGCTCTAAAGCATTCTTAAACAACCTGACCAACGCATGATGTTCATGAAGCAGACACTGCAAGTCTTGAAGAATTGCTCGCTTCATTCCTGCATTGATCCCTAGGCGTCGATCAAGTTGTTCTTCCATGTTGCCCATGAAATATATTTGTAAAAATTTATTCTGTGTATCTTCGAAAGGTAGTAATGATCCAATTCGATGGTGAATCTGTCCTTGTATCTACAAAATAAAAACCAGACAGTCTGGGTTATAAACACTTTTTTCGGTGGGAGAGTAGAGTTCAGAATTAGCAAATATTTTTGGGTGGGAGAGTAGAGTTCAGAATTAGCAAATATAATACATACCAATAGATAAAGTAAGTTATTCTTTAACTACATTCTATGTAAGTACAAAAATAAATACCTTAAATGTCGGATTAAATCCTCGTTCTTCGATAATATCTGCCCCAAATGACGTCATTTGGAAACAACCATTGTATTTTTGAGTGTTTGCAAGAAAGTGGCTTGATTCTTGTGTTTCGCCACAAAGCAATGAATACAATGGCTCATGTGGCGGAGTCAACAACGGTAATTTCACTTTACCATTAAGGCAGCATAATCCAGCCGTTTCTCCGGAAAACTTTAATGCACCACAATACTCACAAACAACGTCCATTTGCCCAATACAAACGCTAGGATGCAAGCTGTAATCATTGCTGCAATCGTATCGAAACGCTGCTCGATTCAAATCAGCACTTGATAAATATCTTGTTCTGCGTCGCAAATTATCTATCTGTTGACCTCTGTTGTTCGCTCGACGATTCCGCATTGCCAACCGAGCTGTTTCACGGGCTGTACTTCACTTTGCTCTCGTGATTGAGAAGCACGAAGTCGAGCCA